TCTGCTTTGTATTTACAAGGTTAGCTTCACCTTTCCAAACTTGATTTGCAGTGATATTTTATTTATTAGGAGCGTTAAATCACTATTCACAGGAGACGGAGATCTACGAGAGTCCCTAGAAAAAGAGAGAGGCGGAGGAGCAGTGTAGCGAACACTTTGAGAATCCATCACTTGGGCGAGGCGCTGAATTGCGGCTTTCGCAGAAACATTCTGAGTCCTTTTGACGCTTGGGATTCCGGTGAGGGTGAGGGAGGACGAACGAGAATGCCCGTTACGTGACTGAAACGGCCCATGTGGATCCTCCTCTTGGTGACGTATCTCAACTTGATTACGGAGGAACGGTTGGGGAGGGCAAGGCCTACGATAGGGGCGTGCGCGCGGGTGCCTTGGCCATGACCGTTTTGGTTACCAAGTTGGCTCAACACAACCGCCAATACACCCTCCTCCCCAACGCCCACCGTGAGCCTCTGCCTCCTCCCCCGGCGCGTTAGCTCTCTTTTCTGTCCTCGGCATCCCAGAGAATTGTACAATGCCAGATTAGGCAACTGGTGGACGGAGAACGTGATCCTGTGAGGTATCCACTGCAGCAGGAGGCATAAATTGCCACATTGCAACTCCTGGATAACTGATAAAAGGAACCAGCTTGTTGCCGTGGGCTTGGCCTTGTGCCGCAAATGCTGCGGCCGGGATTGCAGCAGGGGGAGGCATGAAACTAGGTTGGGCATTTAATGATTTCAGTTGCTGCTCCAACTTCTCTTTTTCTGCCTTGAGCCTCTGTTTCTCATCTCTAAGTTCATTTTTCTCAGCCTACACAGCCAGATAGGAATTTGATTTTTAATACAGATGGTATTTTTCAATTTCAGCATCATTAGGAAAAGGTTGGACTTTTGAAGGCAGAAAACAATCTTCAGAGGCTGTTTCGTTTGAAAAAAAAAGTTTTTTTTTATTTCATTTTCTATTTTTACTGTTATAAAATGTCACTTTGTTTTCAGCTTATTTCTTCTTTTCAATAGTCTGTATGTGAAACAGTCAAAATAAGTTGTTTTCATTGTTTTCTATACAAATATTTGAAAACATAAAACATAACAAAAAGGTGGAATTTTTGTAATTAAAAGTGAAAATAGAAAACATTTTCTTAAACCAAGCATTACATTCTGTTACTCAAATAATGAATTTGTGATTTGGAAACTAATGACAGCTTTTACATCGTGGTGGGGATCAGGATCGGACATTTGTTCCAGATTCAATCAATTTTGGAGGTAATAGATTGTTTACAGCTGCTACCTAATTTTCTGTAAGTGATGGGAATTTCATTTATTTATTATTGAAACTATGTATATAACTGTGGTTTCAGCTGAAAGGGTTGGCAAAAAGGATCAAAAGCGAAAGGTACACTACAAAGTGTTTGTCTAATTATTTTCTCCTTCATTGTTCGATTCCCACATACCTTTGGACTATTTTCCTAATGCATTATTACTGGTCTTGAAATTTTATTTTTTACAGGCACCTGGAGCTCCATCAGCTCATAAAAGACCTAGAAAACTAAAGGCCTCAGATCTTTAGTTCCTCAGGTGAGATCTTAAATTTTGCACAGAAGATACACACTTGATCATTCTTTGTAAATTTGATATTCGTCCAAACCATTTGTGCGCTTCTGTAATATAATGTTGGTTCTTCAACTAAAACAACTAGCACAAGAATGTTTGTTAATGCAATGTATTTAATGAATATTTTTTTGCATGTTATTCGTCAGGTGCAAACCAGGAAAGGTGTTTCGATTTGTGGAATTCTTTCAATCAAAAGTATGAATGTTCTGGAAAGCGGTTGGGAACTCGAACACCTTGAAATTCTGATTGTGGTGTATTTAGTCTAACTCTAGTTCGATTTACTTGGGTCTGCAGTTTTAGGTTAATGCCACACTTGATATTCGATGTAAAAAGAAAACTGAGATCCATGGAATGAGGCGAATCTCCCATTTAACCATGTCCTGAGAAGCTTTACTTTATATCTTGGGCTGTTAATGCTGTTAAGGATACCAAGGCTTCTTGTTTGGATATGCATGTATATAAGCTTGGATTTGGAATTCCAGGTATCTTTGAAAGCTTATGTCGGGATGTAGTATGTGTGATACACCCTTGTATATAGTATATATAACTAATTATTTTTTCTTTTCTTATTTCAGCTAAATGATGCTTCAAGTGTTCCTAATACACCCTTGGATGCAAGAGGATCTTCTGGGGCTAGCAACCTTTGTTATGGATTTTATGTCATACTTTGATTTACAATAGAAATTTGAATTGTAAATTTTTGAACTATAAACTGTTATTTTTGTTATTGGAAATATAATTTCTACGTCCACATTATGAGTATTCTTTTATTACATTTTTTATAGATATCATAAGAAAATGGGAAATTGTAATACATGTAAATTATGAAATTAAAATAAGTATAAAAAATTGTCATATACAAGAAAATAGGGAGAATTAGAAACTCGACTGTAAAATCTCTATTGTTAGAATGCTTTAAAAAAACCCTCCATAGTTAGTATAGTTTTAAAACATTTTTTAATAAACCTTCATAGTTAGCGTAGGTTTAAAGCCTCTTTTAAAAAACCTCCATAGTTAGTATAGGTTTAAAACCTCCTTTAAAAAACCTCCATAGTTAGCGTAGGTTTAAAACCTCCTTTAGAAAACCTCCACAGTTAGTGTAGGTTTAAAACCTCCACAAAAAAACCTCCGCAAAATACTATCGATACCAGAGGTTTTTAAGAAACCCCGCTAATTGCTTGTGGCGAATGTAACTGCGGAGGTTTTTGAAAACCTCTGCAATTTATTTTGCGGAGGGTAAAAACCTCCACTAAACGCAAAAACAACCTCCATTATTTAGCATATTTGTTGTAGTCTTCCCTCGACTTTAGGTACTTATATTTTAAAGATTATGGTTATATTTTATTACACATTTAAAATTTGTAATATTAACTTGTTGATCTTGAATGTAATACTTATATGTTTGACAATTTTTTCCCTTTTTGTTGAGTGTAAATTACATACAGATCTTAGTTGAAACAAAAGTTAGAAGAATATTACTTTTATTTAAAACTAATTTGAAAAATTAATTTTGTAATATTCATTTTTCTAAAGGGGGTATTTTTGTAATTTCTATTAATGTTTCTATTAATGACATTTTCGCAAATTTTATTAAAGTTTGAGGGGTAAATGGGTAACTTGGAACGGGCTGTTCCAAAATTGGAACGGGTCATTCCAAGCAATAAAAAGACACTAAATTTTAAGTTGGGAACGGGTCCAGAACGGGCCGTTCTAACTGGGAGAACGGGCCGTTCTGATTTTGGAACGAGCCATTTTAGAGGGAGAACGGGCCGTTCCGGAAGGAGAACGGGCCGTTCTGGATGAGTCTCGGAACGGGCCGTTCTGATTTTAGAACGGGCCGTTCTGCTTTTTGGGAACGGGCCGTTCCGATTTTGGAGCGGGCCGTTCCAGTTTAAAAATTTGCGTACATTTGAAAGATTCGGAACGGGCCGTTCCGAATTCAATACGGGCCGTTCCGGGTGACTCTGGTTGCCTATAAATAGGAGGCATGGGGGTGAAAAAAAGATAACTGGAGAGAAGAGAATCCTAGAGAGAGAAAGAGGAGAGAGAGAGAAAGAAAGAGAGGGGAGGAGAAAAGAAAAGAGGAGAGAGAAAGAGGAATCCAGTAGAGGAGGTTCTGCCAGGGGAGAGAAAAGAGGAGGGAGAGGAGGAGATTCTGCCCGAGTTTCGATCCTTGTTTAAGGAGAGAGGTGGAGATTCTGCCCGAGTTTCGGTTCTTGTTTAAGCAAGAAAGAGGAGAAGGTTCTGCCCGAGTTTCAGTTCAGGTTTATCCAAGTAAGGGTAGTGCTTATAAAATTAATCTAGTATATATGAGCATGATAGGAATAGTATAATTTTAATATGCTATTTTATGTGGAGATTTTCATTTCATATAGTATAATTTGGATCAATTGATGGTTGTTTTGGATATTTAATTATTTATATTATTATTATATTGACAAATTGGCATGGTTATGGTTATGTTTAATTATGGAATATGCTATGTGTATGTGGTTTGGAAAAGTAAATAGGACTTAAAGGAGTAAGGTTATGGTATGGATTAGATCTCTTGGTGAGATCAGGATATAATCTTTGGAAAAATATGGAATTTGGGAATCCCATGGTGAGGATTCCAATGTGGAACTTTTCCAAAGGTTATATAATAAACCACTTCAGATGTTAGGTGGATTCTGAAGTACTCCTCTAAGTATTCTATTTGCTACCGGTATGGGTCTAGGCCGAGTCATACCGATGGATGAGGTGGCCCCACCAGGGTTACGTGACGACGTAATCCAACTGTATATTTTCCATGAGAGGTTAGGCGTGGGACATGGGTTGCTGACATGTTTCACCGTATCAACACTTGGTTTGGATGGTGTTGAGGCCAACATTTGGTTTGGATGTGTTGGTTACATCATGGATTATACAGTGGTGTGACTTTGTTTTGGATATGGAATATGTATACATATGGTATGGATTGTATACATTGGTTATGGATTATTTTATTATCATAAAATATGTATACATTGGCATGGACGTGTATACATTATATTTTGGGTTGGTCTATATTTAGCTTGAAAATGACTTGTTGGTCTGGATAAATACTGTGGAAAAATATCTGTTTAATGATATTTTATTATGATGTACTATGATTGGTTTTATATGTGCTAACCCTTATATTTTCATGATGTGGACTGTGATGATCTCACTATGTGGGGGAGCAGATCAGGTATGAGGCTTTGGGATAGCAAGGAGTCTTTTGGATAGCTGCTTTGAGAAGTGGCTAGGTTTAGAGCTTGACCAGCACCTAGGGTATCTTATTTTGATGTTTTCATGACGTTGTAATTATATTATCTTTTTGGATTACTGTATAACTTTACTGAGGATGATGACTCTGTTATAAAAGATTATATTATATATTTTGGAAACAATTTATATGTTATTGTATATTTACACTCTAGCGTAGCTGGCTTTTGCTCTATTTTCTTTCTTTTATATTATTTTATTTTGGTTGGTTATTGATGTGACGGCCTAGGGTGGGTCGTTACAAATTTCAATTTAACTTAAATTTTTAACTATAATTCAAACACCCTACATATGTAACATGATGTTATAAGAGTGATAACTATAATTCAAACACACCACATATATAACATGATGTTATAAGAATGGAATCTACCATTGGCTCGGAAAAAAAGAAGAGAAATGAAAATGATAAAAGTAATGGTGGTCTTCTTTTCTCTTGAAATTTTGAATGTCATATAAACCAGAGAAATTAAATAAAACGGAAAGGGAAGTACATGATTATACATTCATCCAAAAGGTCACAGCTAATTTGTATTGTGATGAAGATCTTATAAGAAAGATGGTGTCTTCTCTTTATTTTCTTCACTTCAAATTGAATTCTCCCTATTTTGTGCCCTATTGTTGTTTTCTCTTTACGTGAGCTGGAATTCTAGGAGTTTATACTTGGATTGAAGAGTGCAAATGTGCCATTTAGTTGGATTGTCAGTGTGTTTGGATTAAAAATTTTAAAAATTTAAAATTATATTAATTTTAATTTTTTTATATCATTTTTTATATGTTTTGTTTGGATAAATCAATTTAAATTTTTAAAATTTTAAATTTACAGTTTAAAGACAATTTAATTTTTACCATGATAAAATTAATTTTAAATACACATATATATAATGACATTTTAAAAATAAATATTAGTCAATTTTTAAATATTTAATAGTTTAAAAAATTAATATTAAATGGTGTAAAAAATTAATATTATATAGGATCTATAAGACCATAATATTTTATATCATTCGAGAAACATCTTATGGACAAATAATATAATTGACCTAACAATATGCCTTCTAACTTTTGTTGCAACAAAAATGTTAGAAAATGTCATGAAATCAAAGTGATTTTTTGGAATGATTTCTACTTCAAATTTAGAGCAAATTGTGTGATTGATGAATTGTAATTTGAAATTGTGATATATAATTTTAAATTTTAAATCTTTTTCAGCAATTAAAATGTTTTTCAATCACATAACAATGTCCTTGTTGAAGAACATTGTTGAATTTGTATACTAATTTTTTCTTGATATACACTTGAATCTTCTCACTCTGCAAAAAAATTACAATAAAAATTGAAGTTGTTAAAAAAATTCAAAGTAAATAATAAAATATATTAGTAAAATGCAATATAAATTATATTATATGATAAAAAAAACTTTTTGATTGATAAAAATATTTCAATACTATTAATTTTACCAAGATATTTAAACTCTGACAATGTCCACAAATAAATAACACAAACCTTTAACTTTCAACTAATATTTTTACGATAATGTCACGTATTATAGACATTTTTTTTAGTTATTATGAAAATAAGTAAAAATAGTAATATTAAACTTAAATATTTCAAGCCATAAAATTAACATTATCACACAGATATATATAAATATAAATATTGATAATAAAGAATATTAAGATTCAGATCTGGACAATGCTATTACGGGGTGAATGATATGTTTTCATTTTTAATCCAAATCAACGTGTGTGTA